CGCAAACAACCCAAAATAGAGCCAACGATAGTTTGGTTTACCCCACCCTCCTTTCATTCAAACGCTTATTGGATCAAGATGAATGCCCCAGTGCACACATTCAAAAAACACGATGTTATAAGGGGTCAGGTTTGCAAGGAATGGAGGCATCATAACAGCTGACAATGACGGACAACAACATTTCTGACTCTCACGGTGCTCGGTCATTGTTTATGTTCCGCTCTATTGACACTATTGACAGTGTATATGCTCCGCATATACCATTGGACAATCCCCCATTCCAAAAACTACCACTAGGGCTCTCCTTCTTTCATTCTACCTGTGAAGCTGCACAACAAAACCCAAACATAAAATGCCTTGAAAAGTATCTTCACTTCTGGCAACTGCACCTTCTGGTTTTCCATGGCCATATAGAATGGACAAGAGTCCACCAAAATTACTTTACTTCGAAATTCCCCACCCTCAAAGAATTGGTCTTCGCAAGAGAAAAGCGGTTCGGGGCGAAAAGGATTCTTTATTGAAAACCACACATCGAGTACTTACTTGTGAGGTTTCTGAACTTCGATATTTTAATGCCTGGCAACCCCGCATCCCTGCCAAGTCAACTTGTGGTGGATATACTGTGGAACTGGTACTTGGGAGCACTCTGGTGAATGTGCTGGTGTAAAGGCTACGCTGGGCTACTCGGGGCCACTCTGGTGGATGTGCTGTGTAAGGGCTACTCTGGGCCACGGTGGGCCACTCTGGTGGATGTGCTGTGTTCGTTGGGTTGCTCTGAGCTATGCTGGGACCACTCTGGTGGATGCGCAGAAGTAGCGAGTCTACTGAATTCCAAAGTTCTTAAAATCTAACAGCCCCACAGTCCTACGGGTGGGGAAAAAACTGCTTTGATAAGTACATTACAAGTCTACAACTATCCTGCGATCTCTTTGGTAAATGTGCTGTGGAGAAGCTAAGTTGCGCGACTAAAAACTGTGGTTGCCGTGGACAAGCTAAGTTGAACTACTTAGAAATCAGTTTGTGAATGTGCTGTGGAAGAGCTAGGCAGCTAGGTTTAGCTACTCAGGGATCAGTTTGGTGAATGTGGTGTGAATACTCAGAGGTCATTTTGGTGAATGTGCTGTGGAAGTGCTACGTTGAATTACTCAGGGATTACTTTGGTGAACAGGGATCAGTTTGGCGAGCGTGCTGTGAAAGAGCCACTTTGGGCTACTCAGAGATCACCTTGGTGAACGTGCTGTGGAAAAGCTAGCTTGAATACTCAGGGATCACTCTGGGGAACGTGCTGTGGAAGAGCTACTTTGGGCTACTCCGGGATCTCTTTGGTGAACATGCTGTGGAAGTGCTGCGTTGAACTACTCAGGGATCACTTTGGTGAGTGTGCTATGGAAGAACTGCTTTGGGCTACTCAGGGATTACTTTGGCGAGTGTGGTGTGGAAGAGCTAAGTTGGGCTAGTCAGGGATTCCTTTGGTGAACGTGCTGTGAAAAAGCTACTTTGGGCTTCTCAAGGATTACTTTGGTCAACGTGCTGT